TGTCTCCTTCAAGAGAGGAGGGATGGGGAGTCTCCTTCAAGAGAGGAGGGATGGGGATGTGGAAACGTTCCCTTCTCCGAGCCTGGAGGGTGCCAGGAGCAGAGCATAGAGTGGGTAAGGGGAAACTGAGTCTCTGACCATCTCTGAGAGAGTTTTTTCCCTGAAGCTGGGGGGAAAAAATCACTGAAAGCTACAAATTGCCTCTGTGACCAAATCCACAGTGAGCAGGGGTGCTATGAGGTCATGTGGCAGCATCCTGCCCATGATCTCTAAAAAATCAAGGTTCAATCCCCCCCTTTTTGGGCAGGTGGAGCTGAAGGAGCCTCCTAAATTCAGGAATGACCCAAAACCATCTCCCCACTCAATCAGCATTTCCTTCAACCTAGGGATCTGTAGATGCAACAGCCAGAGAGCGAGAAAATGGGCTTTGTTTTCTCACAGAGGACTTGTGAGACTTTTTTAGGGATTTGTAGAAAAACGATGATAACTTGTTGGTATAAACAACCTGCAGGTGGTGTCTTCCTACTCTGCTTTTCTGTTCCTCTCAAGGGCTGCTTGTGAAAAAGATGTTTTTGTTAGTGAGCCAATCAAGCAGAATGTGTTGAATCTGTCTATAAAAGAGAGGATTTTTGAAATTAAATGCTCTTCTGCAAACCAGCCTTGGAGTGAATCTGTGCCATTTCTTGCTCAGCAGTGACAGAGACTCCAAGGCTGGGGCTGTGGAAATGAAAGGTCACTGAAAGCAGAGGACAGAGTTTGGTTTCTCATTAACAGTGTCCAGCCCCTGTGTGCAGAGCCAGTCCTGATAAAGGGAAAATGAAGCTCAGTTTGCACTGAAAGTGCCAGGATCCATGCAGGAAAGCAAACAGCAGCTGGGGGCTGATAAGGAGCAGGACATTAACCAAGGCTGGACAGGGGGAAATGCCACAATCCCAGCCAGAGCCATGCAGAGCCTGAGCAGCGAGGTCTGACCATGCCCCAGGACATTTATCAGCCAAGGAATGATAATCCTTGATAACTGATGATAATTTCCACTGGGGGCTGCAAAGGGCTCCTGGGGGTTCCTTTATTTCCCTGCTCAGCCCAGCAGCTGGGGCTTGGTTGGGATTTTTCCATCAATTTTCCATCACCCTTCTCCATCCAAGCAGGCTGAGCAGGGTGGTTAATCTGGCTGTGAGCAGGGCTTGAACCCTCCCAGAGGGGTTCCAGTGGTGTAGGAAATGAATTTGTAGAAAATTCTTAAAGTTTGATAGAAGGTTTACATAGTATGTGTGTGGATGTAAACCTTGAGATAAGAAATGTTAGAAATATTATGGAATACGACAGACACGATTGAGAGAAAAATTGAACCAAAAAGAAGTTTTAAGGGATAGCCTTGCAACTAAAAGTAGTTTAGAAAAATAGAAGTATGAAAAATACGTTGTAGTAAGACTTCTGAAGAGAAATTTTAGATGGTTGGCTTTAAAGTATTTATGGCATAGTGTATCAATACTATCCTTTGAAACTTGTTTTTAGCTCTATTTTTCTCTCAATAATGTCTTATTCCACAGAATTTCTAAGTCAGCATTTCTTATCTCAAGGCTTACATACACATATATACTATGTGAGCCTTCTGTCAGGCTTTGAGGATTTCCCACAAATTCATTTCCTACACAGAGGTGTCCTGGGAGCCCTCTGGGAGCTGGAGGGACAGGTTGGATGTGCCTGTTCCCTCTCCCAGTCTGTTTGTCTTTCCATTGCACTGGGCCAGCCACAGCATGGAAAAATCCACGTGTGCATGGTAAGAGGGAGCTGGAGCACTGCCCTCCCTGGCCAGGGCTTTGCTCAGGAGGCAGAAAATTCCCTGTGCACCTGGAAATGGCCCTGGAATGACAGAAAACTCAGACAGAAAATAGACAGAAAATTCCCTGTGCACAAGGAAGTGCCTTGGAATGCCATCATGAGGCAGAAAATTCCCTGTGCACAAGGAAATGCCCTGGATTGCCACCAGCTCCAGCAGAAATGCCTTGACCCCCAGCCTGCTCCCTTCCCATGGATATGTGAGGCACAACCGTAACGAGTTGTGAGGCATTAATAAAGCCTTAATTAATAAATGAGGTATTAACCCTGCCACAGCCAGGGATGGCAAACCCCAGTGCCAGGGACAGCAGTGACTCAGGGTTTTTCCCCAGGGAAACTGCCCAAATATTTTTCCATATTTGCTCTCCTGCCTGCCACACACACGGGCTGTTCCCCTCGGGTGAGCAAGGCATTACTGAGGGGGAAAAAAATGCAGTGGTTATGCAAGGGGAGGCAGCTCCCAGCCCTGCATCCACACGGGCCCTGCCCAGCCTGAGCCAGTCCTTTCCCAGCCTTTCAACCCAAAATACAGCTCTCCCTGCTTCCTTCAGGATTCCTGAAATATTTCCCTGGAAAAAGCCAGATCTCTGCAAAAGGCATAATGAAATAAAACCAGGGTTCATTTCTACCCTGCTATAAATAGGCCTGGGGTTGCCCTGGCTTTCAGCTCTGTGCTGGGCTGGGAGGGAGGCACAGCGTGGGGTGACACTGCTCAGGCCACCACCATCCTGAGTTTGGGTTTTTGAAGCTGCTCCTTCAGGGATAACAATAAACTCTGGAGTTTTGGGGGACTTTTTGGGGGGGTTTTGAAGAGATGTGGATGTTTTGTTGTTTTTCGGTTTCCATCGTGCATCCCCATCAGTCTCTCCAGCTGGTTCTGCATCCTCCTGAGTCCCACCAGGACCCTGCCCTGGCCACATCAGAGAGGACACAGGCTCTGCAGGTGAGGCAGGAATTCCTCTGTGCCCACAGCAAATTAACAATTTCATAAAATCCATCAGCTCTGGTGAGTGCCACCTGTTCCATGTTCAATTTGCAGCACTGGCGGTTGTTGGCAGGTCTTTGCAGGAACAGTTGTGTCACCTCAGCCTGTGCTCTCTGGAGGTTTCACCCACTTATGAGCATCAAATATTTTATTTCAGGGTGAGGAATAATCAATACTGTGCCTTCTTCCCTTCCTGGAGGTGCAGAGTAAAGTCAGTCAAGGACAAAAGTCATCACAGCGTTCCTCCCGGTCACAGCACAGCCAAACCTTGGAGCAGGAGGCAAAGTGCAGCACAAATTCCAGCTTTTAACAAATTCCATCTTTTAACAGCGTGGCGAATAAAACTGGGGAGTGCAGACTTCTCCCTCTCCTGCAACAGAGGTTACAGCAAGTGCCCAGGGTTTCTGATGGTGCCACCAAGCTGTGAGAAGCTTTGGCTGAAATCCTCAGTTCCCACTGGGATTTTGCTTGGGAGATATCCACCTTGGTACCCAAATCCTGGTGGCTTCAGCAGGCAGTGCTCAGCTCTGAGATGCACCCAAGGTGGGTCTGTGGCACATCCAGGGGTACTCAAACCCACCAGCCATGGATTTCACATGCTGGGACAAAGGATTCAACAGGATCCAGATTGGAGACAGGGAAGAGCTTCACAGGGGTGGCCCTGGCTGAGCACTGAGGTGGCTCCAGACCCTGGTGCTGTCAGGCCATGAAGGTCATTCCCTGTTCCTTCCATTATCGCTTCCCATCATCTCCTGCAGCAAATCTCACGTGGAACCAGCACTGGGAGAGCCCCACAGGAGCAGGAGGAGCAGGCATGGAGGTGGAGAGAGCACTTGGGAATCCTGCCTGGGCAGGGGATGGGACGA